TGATTCGTTTGAAATGATATGAAATGTCCCATGACACCGCTCTACCCCCATTCATAATATCAATTAAAATTTTAGAATCAGCCTCAGTGAAAATCTGCTGCCAGTTTAAAATGGCAGCAATATAGACGACCATTAACATCGCCCTAGCTTCAGTTTCCAGAGGATTATCAGTGACAAAGGGGATGAAAAAAAAAGCTTACACCTGTTCTCAGCATCCCAAGCTATACCCCCAATAACAACACCAAAGGATTTCCAACTCACGTCGGTGTTAAATTTAACCCACCCACTTGGAGGAGGCCGCCATCTCACCAAGGTTGGGAGTTACGGTATCCTCGCTCCAGCTTGAGTAGGTTGCCTCAAAGCTTCAAAATGGGATATACCAGAAAAGAAAGCATCCTTCACAATACTCAACTTCATAATTTTATGAATATACACAATGATATTAGAAAAAACAGTCCCATGCAATATTTTTACCATCATATTTAATATCATTACTGGTCATCCAAAGAAACCAACAAACAATGCGTACTCTTTCGATCCAGATTGCAAAGGTGGCATGAGTTAATTAGATCCCGAGCCGGTGTCAAAGCAATATCAAACCAAAGCCCTCATTTACTCCAAATTTGCAAAGAGAAAGAACACATGAAAAATAGATGCTCAATAGATTCCTCATCCTTTTTACACAACGAACATCTAGAAGGTATACGCAAACTCTTTTTAATTTTAAAATATCATCGCACGAGATTACCTTATGAAACATCCTCCACGCCAAAATTGACATAGTGGGAGTTAAAGCAAAGCTCCGAATACTATTACCCCAAACAGTTTCATGAAAATGATGAAGAGAGAAATAAACATTTTTAGATATAGAGCCTTTAGTTGCTGTTTTAATCATAGGACCATCCTTCATATGTGGCTCTAAAGGAAGAGATGAGATAAATTTAGCATTATCCTCCCCCACCAGATGTATAAGTAACGACATTCCAACCACCATGTAGCCAGGTATCAGAAACAAGAAGTTTACCATGAGTAGCCTTCCCCAAATGGAAATGCACCTGGGACCACAAGTTCTGCAAAAAAGAAATATTGTCGCAGCCCAAATCCCAAAAAATAATTGACTTGGTCCATTCACGGATTTGTAAGAGCTTTTTCCACACTCTAGAATCACCAACACGCCAAGAAACTAAGGATTAGTTTTATGACAATATTTGCTGAGTATAGAGGAAGCACATAAGGAATCTCCTTTACGAAAATTAAACCATAGTTTTAAGTAATTTATATCCACAATATGATGTAGCTGTTTGAAACCTAAACCATACGTCGGTTTACAGACCCTTTTCCATGGTAACCATTTCCTACCCGAATGACCACCAACCCATAAGAATTTATTAAAACATCGTTCAAGAACCTGTTGTGTGCTCTTTTTAATGTGTAGTACTTGCAAAGAATATAAAGGCAAGCTTTGCAAAATGCTCGTAAGTACAATGATCTGTCCCCCGAAGGACAAAAAGTTATGTTTCCAATCAAACATCCTATTTCACATTTTTTCCACCACCTCATCCAATTGAGATTGTTTCCTCCTCCCTTTTAGGAGGTTAACCCCCAAGTATTTAAGAGGAAGAGAAGAGAGAGTTAACCCCATAAAAGTGGGAATCCAATCCGCTTTCCACGATCAACAGACTTTCCCGTATATATATGACATTTGCTAGCACTAAATTGGAGACTTGAAACATGCTGGAAATTCTCCAACACTTGACAGATTCCTTTAACGGTCTTCTTGCAAGCATTAGAAAACAATATAACATCATCCACATAGGCCAAATGTGAAACAACAACCTTGGATTTGCCAGCAAAATGGAGAGAGCGCACTCTAGGGAAAAGTTCATTGACTAATCAGGAAAAGTAATCAAAGACTAATATAAATATAGTAGGAGATAAGGGATCCCCTGTTTAATCCCACGACCCACAGAGAAAAACTCATGCATATTGCCATTAATAATAATGCTATAATAACTGGAGATAAGGCAGGTGTGAATAAGCTTACAGAAGGCAATAGGAAAACCTCCATCTTTAAACACTTTCAAAATAAACTTCGAACTTCGAGAATCATAGGCTTTGTGGATGTCCAATTTAATAATTAAGTTTCTCTTATCTATATCATAGATTAACTCTTGTGCCAACATAATATTGTCGGTAATTCCCCGACCCTGTATAAAAGCCGATTGGTTGAGAGAGATGATGTGATGCAAATGAGCTTGAATACGTTTCACCAATATTTTGCTAATAGCTTTCGTTACCACATAAGTCATAGATAAATGCCTAAAATGCTCCCAAGCAGTTTTATGTGTCAATTTAGGAATAAGAACAACAATGGCAGCGAAGAAATATTTTCTAGGGTCCTCGCCCCTGAAATAGCTCTGAAATGGCCTCCACCACATCTTTTTTAATAATGCCCCGACATTTGATATAGAAATCTGAAGTAAAACCATCCAACCCAGGGACTTTATTACAATTGATATCCGAGAACGCAACAAAAATTTCCTCTTCATCAGGAATACCACAAATATCTAATCCCCCAATATAGTTTCTAACATCATTAAACAAATGAGCCTCAATATCACCCGCAGTCTGTTGAGCTTGGAAAAGATTAGTGAAGTATTTAACAACACTCTCACCCAACTTAAGATCACCCGTTACCCAGTCTCCATCCTCATTTTTAATACGAACAATAGTGTTAGAAGCCCTGCGTTGTTTTATGCACGCATGAAAGTATTTCGTATTTCTGTCATTTTGGGTGAAGTGCAACTCCCCTGCTTTCTGTTGTAACAATTCTTCCTCCCACATAGATGCTTCCAACAAATCCTTATGTGCCTTTTGAAGTTGAGGAACAAGATCAGCAGTAGATTCATTAAGAGCTTGTAACATATTAACTCGTTGTTCAGCCTTAATCACTCTAGCATGGACATCACCAAAAATATCCCAGTTCCAAGCTCTCAAAGCAGAAGCCACATTCTTATGAAGCTTCCAAAGTCGGAACCAAGTAGTTCCCACCTCATAACAAAACCAGTTAGCAACAATAAAAGTAAAAAGTTCTCATGTTTAGCCCAAACATTCAAATATCTAAAGTGGTACCTGATAGATTTTTTAAAGAAGTCAAATGATAGGAGGAGCGGATTTTGGTCAGACCTAGAGTTGCATAAATGTTGTACTTGTGAAAATCCAAAAGAGGTGTTCCAAGCCTGATTCCCGGAGCATCTATCAAGTCTTTGAAAAAGCTTCCCTCTCTTCCAAGTAAATTTGGATCTGACAAAACCCAATTCAGACAGCCCAACATCCACCACAGCGTCACCAACTTTGTCCATCAAAGAGAGACAAACTCCACGCCCTCCGAGTTTCTTAGAATTATGCTAAATCATATTAAAGTCCCCCCCATCATCCATCTATCTTTGAGTTACAACTCGCAAATTCTAATATTATTCCAAAGTTCATATCTGTCCTGGGAAGATGTACCCGCATAAACAGAAGTCATCCATCATGAGGAATCATCAATAGCAAAATATAAATGCACAAATTGGCCCTCGTCAACAACAATATTAACTCAAATATGTTTCCTCCAAAAAACCCAAATCTTGTTAGAGCAGTTAGATAAAAAAGAGAAGTGTTTGAATTTACCCAAAATACGATCAGCAGGAGCCGAAACCGAAGGTTCCAAAATAGAGAAAATCATATACCTATAAATACATATATGTATAGGTATATATATATACCTATACATATATGAATATATGTATAGGTATATATATATAGGTATATATAGGTATATATAGATATATATATATATATATATATATATATATGTATATATATGTATGTATAGGTAGATATATATGTATGTATATATACATATATATATATTTTGAGTTTATCTGTATCTTTTTGTTGGGGAAGTACGTATGGGTAGGGTGCCTCTTTTGGGCCCACTCATACAACCTTTATGTATATTTTTTATTTTAATTAAATCAACCATTGGCCTTTTCATATATATATATATATATATGTATGTATATATATGTATGTATGTATATATGTCTGTATGTATATATGTCTGTATGTATGTAACATACATACATATATGTATGTATATATACATACATACATATATGTATGTATGTATATATGTATGTATGTACATACATATGTATGCATACATACATATGTATGTATATATATATATATATATATGTACATATCTGCATACCTATGTATATATGTACATACATATATGTAGGTAGGTAGGTATGTACGTACGTACGTGTGTACGTACATATATATGTATGTGTGTGTATATATACACACATACATAAATATATATATGTATGTGTGTATATATATATACACATACATATATATATATATATGTATGTGTGTATATATGTATGTGTATATATATATACACACATACATATATATATTTATGTATGTGGTATGTAGGTATGTATGTAGTTATGTATGTATGTAGGTATGTATGTATGTATGTATATATATGTATATATATGTATGTATGTATGTATGTAGGTACGTTCGTATGTATGTATGTATGTATGTATGTATGTATGTATGTATGTATCCATGTATGTATGT